TTGAAAAATAAGGCAAAGCACCTCCGCCGGAATATCCTTGATAGTCAGCTTCGATTTTGCTTCTTTCAACTCCATCTTGCTCACGTTAACACCAACCACTTTAACAACCAGCTAGTTAAATAAATGGTAGAAACAGTACCCCTGTTTCTACGATAAGTTTTTAGTAAAAAACGGTAAAGATTCATCGCACATCTGGACACATCCGAGGAAAAAGAGTATTTACTTTATGTTGCCATTTCATCATTCATTCACAAGCAGCGTACAAAATGTATCGAAATCATACCAACATTAGAAAGCACATACCCAAATTTTTGCTTACTGTCTGATTTGCAGGTATTAACGACGATTATGCGCCAAATGTATCTGACTACTTTCCCACAAATGAAGGAAAAGCGAAGGTGAAAGTCATCGCTAACATTACCTAGTCAGAATTAATGAAATGAAAAATCTGGCAATAAACTTCACGTAATCATTGACGCTGCGTTTGAATGCCGTTGTTTGGGCTGTTGACGTCCGCGATTTCAGATCCAAGTGCGCTATTCCACACGTAGCTAACCTATTTTCTTGTGCATTTGGCGTTGTTTCAAAATGTTTATCATGCATTCGGTTGTGTTATATTTCAAAGCTGATTTTCTATTGTTCAACGCTTGTTATCTTTTGTTCGATTTTTTTGGTGTGGTTCTGACGTTTTTTCATTTTTCTTTCCGTTCGGACATTAAACTTCCACATATACCTTATATGTTATGTCGGTCTTATTTTTATTTCTTGCGGCCGGCATCTTGCTACATATGTTCTCTATTGTTTGTTGTTTGTACGTTTTGTTTTTGCCTTTATTTTGTCTCGTTATTGTTCTGGTTCGACCTTAAAAGTGAGTATTACTGCATGCAATATATTGCTATCATGCTTTTCTTCGTCTCTTTCCAGAATTTATTCTTTGAGTTCCCTCCCGTCAGTTATTTCCGTAGTTTAGTTTCTTCTTTTACGTACGTCTCTAACGCCCTTTATATTCTCTCCATGTTTCCTTTTCATTGCTGTTTACTGCAACTGCTAATCCATCATGCCTTATCCGATCACTCCATATTGCATTTAAACGGTTGCTTGTCTCACCTGCGACGCGTACCGTGTCGCATGATCTCTCTTGTTTGTATTCCGAAACTCATTTGACATCCGTAAGCATCCTCTTGCTATGTTTCTGGCATTACTTTGCTCGTTAATCTTATCGGTCTTTCCTTAAGTTTCCTTTCGTTAATTTCTTCCGGAAATTGCCTTCCTTTCCGCCATGAGTGACATTCTTCACTTCCTTCTGATCTTGGTTGTTCCCGCGTTGTTATTTTATTTCTATTCACATTAGCTGGTTATGTACGGCCGCTGCTATCTCTCAACATCTGCTTTTGACGAAAATAATTTCTTATTTTGCACATTTTTTGCTCATTGCTGTGTCATCTAGTCTAATTCTTCTCGTCACATTTTTTCCTTTGTTGCATGTTTGATGCAAAGCACTTTCTCGAAAAAGTTTTTCGTTCCTGTTATTTTTAAGCGCAAATACTTTTCGTCGTGTCCAGATCTTGCTATATCCATGTTCTTCGCTATATTCTTCCATAAATATGCATGTCTTCTACATCGTTTGAAACTGCTTTCTATCGCTTCTAGTTGCAATCACCTCTGTTGCACATTCGATATCCGGCTGTTTTGGTTGTTTCATTAGTAGTTTCTTTTCATTTGTCATGTTCTTTATTATAATCTCGCTCTTGTTTGCATTCTTCTGGACATGTGTTTCATCCGATTTCATTCTTTATTCCAGCCATGTTTTTTGATCATTTTCATTCTGCTCTTCGTCATACTTCTGCCTTCACTGTCTTGTTCCATATGCGGTGGTTTTTCGGCAGCATTTTGTCTTTACACCGCTTGCATCTGTTTCTTTTATTCTATAATTTCTCCCTTTTCATCCTACCTGGCCTTGTTTTCTAGACCTTTCCACGTCGAGCTGTTTCATTATTTTTCTGACCCAATTTTTGTTCTGGCAGAACAACTGTGTTTATTTATTGTTTCTGCGTTGTTTTTACTCACACCGTTACGAAAACTATTGTTCTTAAATTTATTAGTTGCATTCATCGGAATATTCTTGCGAGATCTTGCTATATTTTTGATTTTTATCACGTGATTTGCTCTTCCAGCGCAATCCGTTGAATCCGTTGCCACATCATATGGTTAATATATATTTATACATGAGTATCATAGATATCCACACAACTAGGATACACCAACCTTTCGATGCACTGGTGGCACATTTGGTTAGTAGTTCGTTTTTGCACCCCTAAAGAAGTAGATTCATATCTCAAATGCCACGTAAGATTTCACTTGTTAACTGTTAAGTACTTTGAATAAGTAATTTTTCCCGTTGTGATTCAATGCATCCAGTAGAGAAACGACTTGCAAGTAGCTAAACTGCGTATAATAGCGACACAGTGGTATTTTGGCATAATTTTACAGCGACCATTGTCTCTGGAACGCGCTTCACTCCAGCAATTCGCGTTTACCCGCCTGATAATTCACAAAATCAAAGAAAGTGTAAACATAAAATAAAATTTGAAGTAGAAAAAAGCCATAGAATGAATGATAAATTACCAAGTCATTGAATTCTCATGCGACTGATCAGGCATCTGTTCAACATCATGAAGTCTGATTCATTCACAGTATGTGTTGGTTTCCCAGGGCAACTTTTTTATTTTCTGTTCAAAACTTCTATGAAACCGGTCAATAGAAGCAGATTAAATGCTTGAGAACGTCTCCATATGGGTTATGTGAATGATCGGCTCCAAGCGGATGATTCGTTTCCATCATGGTAAATTAAGGTAGCTGATTAGCAGACCGCAAGCTTCTTCATCTTCATCATCCACAACCTGTCGGGTCGAAAAGACAGATGCGTTAGACAGTGCTTCCAAAGTTCTCGATCACTGCCAGAGTCTGAGCTTTAGCAGAAAACAACTGGAGTTCAGAGCAGACTCTTTCCATATATTTGCACCAGGATAATCTTGACCGTCTCCTGGGCTTTCTGCCTGTCGGATTTGCAAGAAACAGTTGCTTAGCCTTCCTTTCTGCAGGCATTCGCAACACATGCCCGAGCCATCGCAGCTGTGACTTCTCAATCTGGAGAAGCAAATGTTGTATTCCAAGGCTCTTCCGGATGTCACTATTCCGGACCATGTCGAGACGCGTAAGTCCAGCAACTCGTCTAAGAAAGCCCATTTCAGCAGCTTGAACCCGGATTCGAAGTTTTGCAGTGATGGTCCACGATTCATGACCGTAGGTAAGTATGGGGATAAAGATCGACTTGAATATTGAGAGCTTTAGTTTCAGACCAAACTCTGCTTTAGTCACAGTGGGTCGGGCAAGTTCGCGCAGAACGCCGCTCGCTACACCAATTCGCCGGTCGATCTCTTCCTCAAATTTTCCATCTCTAGTTGATACGACTCCTTAAATGTTTCCACCTGCTCCACTGCCTCACTCTTAATCTGAAGGAGCAATAGGCAGGAGAACGAGAAACCACAAGGCTTTTCGTTTTAGATGCGTTCACACGCATGCCGGTCATGCCGTACTCTGTTGCGAACCTTTCTAGGGAGCACTGTAGATCAGTTTCAGAAGATGCTAATAAAACAAGATCGTCTGCAAACAGCAACCTTCTCGACTTCACATCTCC